GAAGCCATTCCCCCTTGCCCTGTCACTCCAGGCCCTTGTTCAAAGCCTCTCTGCAGTTTTTCCAGGGGTTCCTGATATCCTCTTTTGCCCCAAGCCCCATTGTGGAGCCCCCTGTTACTGGATGCCTGCATTAGCAGTGTGGTGGGGGGAAATCAGCTCTGGCCTTCCAGTTAATCCAAGGCACCAGTTCTAGACTGGTCACAGCCAAATGGGCCAGTGGGGAGCAGTGGGGCAGGGCTGGCTGGAGCTGATGTACAGATTTCCAGCCCCAGTGGCTGTAAAAGGCTGTTGCCATGACAGACTCTCCCCAGCCAGAGCCCACAAGCCTCTGCTATGACCCTAATCCGATTAACTGGCTGATTCACCTGCTGTTATTCCTTTCTATTGACTCCATCCGATGGGATTAGAGAGGTTAAAGACTTGCTGTGGGGATAAAACCAGCCATTAAAGGGATCAATACAGGCAAACAGCACCGAATGGGCTTATCTTGATGAAAACAACTTCAGCCTCTCTTCCTCCCCTTTCCTCTGCCTTCCCCCTGCCCCTTTCCCTCAGCTCTTTGTGGCCATCATTAACCACCCCATGAAAAGTCATCCTGCCCCCTCTCCAGTAAAACCAGACCCTGATGGGTCAGTGTGGGGTCAGGCCTGAATGTTTCTCACCACAAGCCACATCTCTGCCTGTTTTCCACAGAGCCCAGAAAACCAGCTTTTATGAACCACATTTTGTAAAATAATATTAAAGCTGCCATTAACACTTTCCTCCAGCCTCTGTGTTTGATTTGTCCTGCCTGTCCCAGCTTCACCCTCCTGCTCTCTCCCCCTCAGCTTTTCCCTGCTGCTGGTTCATATGCAGCAGAAAAGCATCATTATCTCTTCCCTTTTAAAGTTCAGCCTTGCAGAGCAGGAAATGAATCTCCCATCACAGATGAGGCGAGTGCATTGCTGAGAACAGCCCCAGATGTGGTTTTAATTTCAGAGCCAGGGAATTCAGGCTGCAGGGAAGAAATAAATGCAGGGGCCATTGAAGCTGTTTGTTGTCACCCCCAGCTGCTGGTCAGCACTGCCCAGCTCACAGGGTGGGAACATCTGCCCGCACATTCAGGGCTGCCCATATTCCATTCCACTCTGTGGAGATCTGCATTATGAAATTATACAACTTCTGAAGTCTTCAGGTCTCCTTAAAGCCGAGGGTGTGTCGTGACTCTGCTCTGGAGGTGAGGAGCTGAAGGCAGCTCTGGCCACCTGCAGATCCCTTTATCTGCCGCCAGCAGCCCCCGCTCCC